GTCTCAGAGGGCACCTTCATCATCATCATCATCATCATCATCATCAATCATCATCATTAACAACAGATCCGCCCTTCCCTAACTGACCACGTCTGCTGGTGCAACCCTTTTGGTGTTTCCAAGAAAAAGGGTCAAATGTGGGTTTTTTTAATCTACATTTTTGGCATCATTATTTTTATTATTCTTTATTAGCCATAAATAAGATGGAATGAAGAGAAAGAAAATATCAGAGTCCAGATGAAACCATAGGGAGCTGGGATTGGAGGAAAACTGAGAAGTTGCAAGGAATGACCTTCCACAATTACAGTTCTCAGACTTGTGTGGTCATGTGAATACCTCCCTGTTACACAACAGAAATTAAGCAGTTTAGACAAATATATATCAGTGGAGCTACACCAGGGTTTAATTAGGTCTCATGATCCAGATCTTTCGAATTACCCACCTCTTTCAGTGTGATGAATCCACCTTTTTTGGGCATGACCTTCCAACTGTGTTGAGTAAACCAAGGCTGCTCAGTCTGGGGGTTTTGGCCTCTTGGTGTACAGCCACATGTTCAAAGGCTTTGTAAAAGGCACAGAGACTTATTTAAAGTATTTGAAATATTACTTATTTTGTTGTTCAGAGTGATGAGTAGTTTTATGTTCCGTCTTGAAGAAAACAGGGAGGTTGCTAGTGGTTAATCACTGCAGTTCCTTTAATACTTCTTTATTTTGTGATGGTTGCAAATAGGGAAGGTCTGTTACAGGAACCAGCTGGTGTCTTAGAAAGACTTGGTAAATTACAAGTTGAAGTGTTTACAAAAGGAAACTTGGTATTTTTTATGGTATTGGCTGCAGTATGCCTGACACTTCAAAGCTATCAATGACCAGAAATTAAACATGTGGTAATATGACTGGAAATAGTAATCATCCATCATTTGCCCTTCCAGAAAAAAAACCCAGCAACCTACGACTACATTTAAATCCCTTACTTCCCATAATTTCCTAAGTTAATGTACCAAATATTTATCCCCTGCCTCCAGAAAAGAAAATGAGAAAAGGAAAAAAAAAAAAACAAAAAAAAAACCAAACAGCAATTGTTTAGGTTTTGACATTTTCTGCTTTTCCTTCTGACTGTGCTGCTCTCACCAGCATTTCAAACTGGTTGTGGTTTCCTGCATTGTCCTTCACATTCCACATTCACTCTTCAATTTGTTTCATTACCCCAATACCAGTGTACATAAAAATACCCTGAGATGTTGCTCCTTTATGCTCTACTTCAGCTGATTGTGTCTGTACCACCCATGGCAGAATATCTTTGTCTGGAGATGCCATGCTTTGGTTGCTTGTAGGAATATGAAAATATTACATTCCTAAATGATAAGAGTAGATTTAGGGCTGACATGGAGAAGGGTGAGGGGATGAGGGAACTCGGTGTCTAACATTTTTATTTGTAGGGTCCAACTCCTCGCCTCCATCATCCAGTAGATTACATCATTTCCCATCAGTGAGACTTCTTAAAAACAGAGCTCTCCCTTGAGTGGACAAATTTAGTAACATGTGGTAAACGTTGGATTAAAATAAGAAAGTTTTAGTGTAAGCAAAATACCTGAAATTGAATGTCTTGGTGAAAGAAAGAGCCAGGTGAGGATTTTTATAAAGTCAAGTAATTTCTTTGTAGCATTTTTGGGTTTCAAGTGAAATTCTTTGTAAGCTTCCCTCATCAGCCACTTCTTGGGATGGCCTGCAAAAATGAGCATTGCAGGTTTATCTCTGGATTTTTATGCTTCAGCAAATGTACTAGTAGAAGAGCTAAAATATTTTTCTTTACCTTTTTTTTACTTTGGGATTTCTTTATTATAAAATCTATCCTAAACCTTAGCTAGTTTTATTAGTTACTACAATAATCTATTTTGCATTGCCAAGAGTAGCTTGGGTAGAGAAGGAATGACCATAATAACTTTCACTCAAGTACAGTTTTAATTAATAATTGTAAATTATTATAAATTCATTAGTATAAATTCATTATTTTAGCTACAAAAGCAAATACAGATTTCCATTTTTAAGGAGGTAAGCTACTGTACAAGGAGTTTATACCATCTAAATTTTCCGATTTCATCTTTTTATGAAAAGCAGGGAAAGCAATTTGCAAATATTTAAAATGTCAAACTAATGGAAGTATAAATGATGAACATCTTGTAAGGCATGCAAAAGGAGGCCACGGTTTGCTATGGGACTGTGGAAAAAGAATGAATAATTCATCAGGATAGAATAAATAAGAATATTTCCATGCAGCAGTTGCAGGTTTGTTTATTGATCTACCTGGTAGAAGTTCTTAAAAGATTCATTATTTAGCACAAGCTAGAAAATGTAATGTACCCAAAACACTGAAAATACTTTATTTCTGGCTCTGGGACTTCATTGCCCATCAGGGAAGAAAATCCCAAACAAACATGAAAACAGAAAAAAACCCTAGTGCATTGCGTAATGAAGGGTAGAAATGGAGGTTTCTGTAACACCTGAGAGAGTAACTGCAGAATCCTGAGGGTTATGGAGTGGCACTGCAGCTGCCAGAAGCACTGCCCAGGTGGTGGGGCCTGGGGCTGCCACCCAGCCTCAGACACTGAAAATCCACTAAACATCCACTGAAAATCAAGCCCAGCACATCGAGTCCCTCCCTGCCAGTTCCTGGTGATTCACCAGGAACGGGGCTGGGTTCCTCTGGTGTCAGTGCCAGGGGAGATGTAGACACAGGGGGAAAACCCCGCCTCTGTGAGACAATTATGAAAGTGTTATTTTTAGCTATATTTCCTACAAAGCCTTTTTAGGCCAGCAAATGGCTAACAGTTACAACTTCAATCCTTTTCTCCCTTCATTCTGGAATAGTCATTATTCCCCTCTCCCCCTCTAATTTTTAAACTGAACTTGCTGGTGTTTTTTTTTAAAGAATAATTTTCAAAGTGGGAAAGACCATGAGCTCTCAGCAGCAGGGTGCTGTACCCTTGAGGGAGCTCTTCATCCCAAGGGGCTGTTCCCTCCCCTGTGACCCCAAGGACCTGGCAGGGGACACATCCCCTGGCCAGTGGCACGTGCCATGGCCAGTGAGGTGGCCCAGCCCAGGGACTGAGGGATGATGGTGCTGAAATGAAACCCAGCAGTGCCCCTTTAATGGGCTGCTCCTCCTTGGTCAGGCACTGCAGCTCAGGCTCTTTGGGGCATTTGGAGATGCTCAGGCTTTTAACATCATTGATTTTCTCCCATCAGTGGTGCTGCTGTTGTCATCCTTCATCCAGAAAACCTGTACCTGTGTTAGTGCATCCAACATGCCCCACTCAGGCTGTGCCTCTCACGGGTTTATTGCACATTGATGCTTAAAGAGCTCATATTTCCTTAAAAAAAAAACCCAAGCAGCAACAAACCAACAGCTTTTTCCCCTGTTTTCCTTTGGAAATGGAGATGAGGTGAAAATAATTATTTGACATGAGTGGCAGTGGCTGGCAGAGCACCACCTTTTTTGGCCACAGCTTCCCTGGCTGTTCTGGCTGCTTTGTGGTGGCCTCTCCCTGCATGATTTGTGGTTATAATTCCAAAGGATTTGCTGCACCCAGCTCACCTGGCTGGCTTTCCCTGTCAGCTGCAATTCTACAGTGTTTCAGCACTGATCCTTGCATAGATAATACCTTTTATTAGAGGATTTTTTCATTAATCAAAGCCTTGCACTCATTTTGAAATCCAGCATCTTTTGCAGACTTTATATTTCAGTGATACATTCCAGACTTTTCCAAGGAACACTGAGCTTGGATGCTAAATATGTTACTGCTAGTTGCTCAGAACTTTAATTCTAAAATACAGCTTAAGCCATGAAGAAATCTGTGGTGATTAACTGAATGTTTCCTTTCTGCTTGGTTGAAAAAGGTCATCCCTCCTTTTGTGCCAGTTTTCAGATATTTCCAGCATTATTCTTTCCTTTCCTAGGTCTTGTGCCAAACACCTGGAAATACAATTTCCAGATCTGCATCTTTAGGGTATCGAGTGTGAGTGCACAATAAATAGAGTGATAATTTAATATCTGTGTGTTTTGCTGGGCAGGCTTTGGCAGGTCATTAGTAACCTGCCAGTGGCTGTGGGAGCATTCTGTGTGCTCCAGTACTTTCACCCAAGATTTTAAGCATTTATAGGTGATTCAGCCTCACACTGCACAGAAACACATTGCAGGAAGGAAGAATGCTACAAATTAAAAGTAATTGAGGTTTCAACACATGACAACAGAAGCAGTTTGGCTTCTCTTTTCTGTGACAATCTCCTGCATGTAAATTGCCAGGAGCAATATTCTTTACTCGCTTATTCCAGCTGAAGGATTTGCAAAGGTAACTAATTTCATCCTCTGATTCACTCCTTAGAAATCCCTTTTTTCTTTTCCTTTCCAAAAACGTAACCTGAATTCTTCTAATTTGTCATGGTGGTTATTTTTGGGTTGGTAAAATCTTGAGCATTACCAGCAGAATCATGAGCATCCCTTCTTGTGCTGTTTATAACAGAGCCCTGTTTTGAAGCTTGTTGTTGTTCTGGAAAAATATTACAGGCTGCTGAAATTATCTTTAAAGTGCTTAGAAATTGCTGATAAAATGCATAAATTACTTTTTTTATGCTCTGTGTATATCCTTGTGCATGTGTGAGACTGTTGATACACATAAGACAAGAAGTATGCAAGTTACATTCACATTGGTGCATGTAGAGACACTCAGATGCAACATTTTTTAAATTCAGTCAGGCTTTGTCTAATTGGCCTGTGCAATCTCTGGCACCCTTCCCCTCAAAATACATTTGTTATTTCAACAAATCGTGGTACTTGTATAGACAAAAGGCTCAACAATTTGAATTTACTTTCAGATGAAACAATGGCATAATGACATATTCAGAGAATTACTTTCTGCACTTTGGTCAGGTTTGGGGTTTTTTTTGGGGGGAGTTTAATGCCTACCATGCAATGACAAAGGTTTATTCTCCCTTTGTTCTTTTCAGAGTGCTGCAGCAGCTCCCAGCCCAGTGCTAGGAAACATTCCCCCAGGAGATGGCATGCCAGTAGGTCCAGTACCACCGGGGTTTTTTCAGGTATTCAGAAAAAAAAATTATGATTACAGGAATGTTAGGATAGAAAATCCTCTGTAATACTGTTTGCAAGTCTGTAGAAAAGGTCCTGTTCTGAACTATGTCTCACTGTGTGGTGCAATATTTGAGAGTTTATTTTTAAGCGGAAGTGGACAGGTGGGAAGGAAGTGACCTGACTGACGAATATTTAATTTATGAATTAGTAGAGCACAGAACAAGAAATGGTGCCAGGTTTTTAGCAGAGATAGAAAATGCTTGAGTACAATATTAAAATATTTTCTTATGATAATATACATAACATTCCATGGAGATTTTAAAGTTAGAACGTTGTTGGTTGTGTTCAATGGGCCAGATTCCTGAGCTTGGGTGGGAATTCAGCCTGGGCAATGCAGAATGTCCCACTGAGCATTGCCCTGCACCTTGAAGATCTCAACCCCAGTGCCTAAAAAAGTTAAGTCAGGGATTTAGACCATGTGCTGCTTCTGTTCAGGTTTGTCCTACGTGGAGCTGAACACCCATTTAGCACTGAGGGTGGAAGAAATGACATTTTAGTGCAAGCTCAGCGTGGTGTTTCTGCCCTGAGGCTGCACTGCTCCCAGGCTGGGCTTGCATCTCCTCCTCACCAAAACTCAGTTGTTTTCCTCCACACCGGCGAACTGAGGCTTGATTTGTAATCCATGAATGGAAAGACACTTGGAAGTGAAGTGGAAAATATCTGGCTGCTGGTAGTCACAAAATTCTTGGGAGCTGGCAGAACTCATTAATTAATTTATTTCTACTTTTAGTGCTTTGAGCAGCTGGTTAGGTAGGCTCTTTTGCACATAATTTTTGTTTTAATTTTTAGATTATATCAATATTTCACTTTTTTTAACTTCAGCCTCCCACTTCAGTTGTGATGTCAGAGGAATTAAGTTTTTTTGTTATTGTCTATGATGACTACTAAGATGGGGAAGGGGCACAGATAGGACAAGTGTGTGAAGTACAGAGGAGAGAGTAACTATTTTAAAGGTTTTGCAGAAGGAGGATGTGGGAGTTTTGTTTTTAGAAGTGTGAATAGACTTCTAGCCACTCCAGATCTTTGAAGATGTAAGAAAGACAATCTGATAGAAAGTTGAGTGCGGGTAAAGTCTCATTGTATGCCAGTATCTGTCTGGAGTCTGACTTGAAGCCACAACATCATCCTGCTCTTTTTACGAGGCCTGAGAGTGAAAAGGGACGTTTTCCAAGACATTATTAATTCTTGCTGTAGCTGTGTGCTTTAGAATACACGTAAGCTTGGAAATCAGGTGGCAGTGGGTGCGTTGGGAGCAGTTTCAGCAAAGCCAAAATCCAGAGGGTTCCATCTTAGTGAGAGGTGTGTGAGGCGGTGAGTGCAGACAGCCCTGCTGCTGCTGTGGGTGTTGTCAGGCAGCACTCGCTGCCAGGCTCTGAAACCTTCACCAGAGCTCAGCCTCACCAAGGTCAGCTCGCCCCAGGACAGGGAAACGTGCTGGCAGACAGAGCCTGCCTTGTGAGACTTGAAAATGGAGGGGCATCGTCTGTGCTGTGAAAGGCAGGTGAAATCACAGGTAACAAGGGGAAACTCATGGTGAAAACCTCCTCCTTCCTCCATGGGTGCTGCGAGACCTTTACCAGGCTGTTTCTCCATCCTCTCCTCTGTTCAGTTCCTCTGATCTCAGAGTAAAACAAACCACAGACAACAGGCTGATCTGTTTGAGAGCTGGCAACCCTCATTCTGTGGAGCTGAGACCTGCCCCTCACTCCCAGATCATGACAGCAAACAATTTGTTCTCCAGAGTCAGTCCACATGGGCAGAGCAGGAGAGAGGTGCTTGTGTTTATATTTAGTGCACTGAGGCTTTGCTCCACAAAGGCCTGGTAACATTTTAATTCCTTTAGCCCGAAATGTATCTGGAAGGTCACCCTGGAATGGTGGGGGTGCCTGTTGTTGCTTTCAGGAGTTGTTTGGGTTGGGCTGAGCTGAAGCTGCTGACAGCCAGCACCTGCCAGCTCTGCTTGCAGAACTCCGGGGTCACGGATGATTTAAAGTAATTTCTTCCCTCTTGCACTCATGTTTTGGGTGGATGCTGAGCACTGACAGGGATATAAGCAAGGTGGGATCATTGCTGCTGCAATGAGTTCTTGTCAGAGCAGGGGAATGTCAGAGTCCAGGGAGGGAAATATGCTGGGAGTGAAGAAACAACAAGAGGCATTGCTGACCTCTAACATGATGTTTGAGACATTTATTTTTTTATGGAACAAAATACATATATTTATTTTTTAAAAATAATGCAGTCTGCTAATATAGTGTACCTCTACTACAGTGTAGTGGAGGTAGAGTAGTACAGGAGAATTGTTGTTTCTGAGACAGTATGTGGTAAAACTCTGCTCTTTGTAAAATGAGGTTTACTCATGCAGGCAGACCATTAGCACTGATGTTAATTAGCAACCTGTGGCACTTCATGCCTGATCTACAGAGGCAGAGGTTCTGCTACCAGCAGCTGAATTTGTCTTGTATCCCTCTGTAGTTGTACTTTAATACTTCGATTCAGGTGAGGGGTGATGGTCACTGCAGTGCTCACTGTCCAGAAAAATGGTGCAGGGAAGGTGGTGGAGTTGTACACAGGTAATGTCATCAGATAAACGAGGTTTTGGGGTTTTGTTGTTTGTGGGTTTTTTTCATTTTCAAATGAAATTGTGTGCAGTGTCAAAAGTGAAATTTGAAAAGTCAGTTTTTATGTGGAGTTAGCATGTGCCTCAGTTTCCTCCACTGGTCTGCTTGTGTTTGAATGTAGTTTTATGGTCATATACATTTTGTCTGCATCTGCTCTCAGTCTGAGCAGCAGTGGGACTCTGGAAATAACTCTGTGTGAAACAGAAACTGAACCTGCTCTTGGTTCATTAGCAGCAGCAATTGAATGTGTGGGGCACAAGAGTTCTGCCGTACAGGTCTCTTTAATTCTAAATAGTATAACCCAAACCCAGGCTGCTTTGGCCAACAGAACTAATGAAACCATACTAGATTGCTTAGAGGTGAGATGAACTTATTTATACATGTCTGAAATGCCCAACCAGCCTAGCCTGAGTCTGGAAATACCTCATCCCTTTCCAGCTTTCCCATCTGTAACATCCTGTAACGCAGCTAAGGTGTGAGGAAGGCACTTAGCTACTGTGATAATAAAATAAAGTCATGTGGGACATTTTCTGAGTAATTTTTAGACATTTTTAATCTATGCAATTTGTTAGTTTCTTGATATGGCCAGTCATGGATATCAGCGTGACCTGCTCTTTGTCCCATGTTCTGGAGCCCTCTCTGACCCTGACAAAGTAACTGGGCAACTGAAAGACTGAATAAGATCATAATAAATAATTACCTTTGTGTCTAACGTTAGTGGATGTATATAATGTCAGCAGCCACAGCTTTACACAAGGCTCTCACAAACTCATTTACCGTGAGTTAAATCTTCCACTTGTGATCAAAGGTTCAGGTCACAGAATTCAGAGACTTTCAGGTTTCCACATCCAGTCTTGCAGGTGCAACTGCTGCTCTTCAGGTACTGAGGACCATTTGCATCCTGCTCTTCACTGATATTTTAAGGCCGCTAAACAATTGGAGAGATGCTGCATTTCCGTTTTTGCAGACAATTTATTTGATCCTTGTGGACAGTGCTGGTGTTAGTAAGAAACTGAGTAAGAATGAGAGGTCAGAGGGAAGTTTGGGAGCATGTGTTCATTGAGGTTTTTTGAGTTTTTAAACAGAATGTAAACTATTGATTTCACAGGATTTTTTTTTGCCTTTTAGTTAAATTTCCAGTTTTGGCACTCCTAAATGCAGAGTTTAAAACAGATCAGTGTAGAATTGTTTGGAAGGTGCCTTAAAGCCACTCCTGTTCCAAACCCAGCCATGGGCAGGGTCACTGGTTCTCCCAAGTTACTGCCACCCAGCCCTGCCCAGAGTCTGACCCTGGCTGCTGCTTTTGCACTGCAATTAGGAGAAACACTTAAATGTATGTTTAATTAAGCCCCAGTTGTCCTCTGCTCCTCTATTCCGTGGCTGTCCAAAGGTTTGGCTGTGTGAGGAGTGTGAGTGGCTTCAGGGGCACTCACCTGACAGACCCTGCTGGGAGTTGTAGGGGAAGTAGCTTGTTCTACAACTGACAGTTCATTTGTTTAATTTGGTAATTCTGTTAAAAGTCAAATTCCAGCACTTGTCTGTACCTTTTCACACATAAGTGAAGCGCCCTTTCTTTTAAACACGTTACTTTTTTCGGCACATTTGTTAAAATCTCTTCCAGGGTTCAACTTACCACTGAACATTATTTCCGTGGTGCCTGTTTTCTAAAGGGCTTTTCAAGTGGTTGGCTTCCTTCACCAACTTCAGATCACCAGATAAACTTGGAATGGCATGGGAGAGAAGTGTCGACACCATGTTTGAAATACAAATGTTACATATTCCTCTTATATAAAAGGGGAAAAAAAAAACACCAGCCCAAACCCAGCCCTGGAAAATAATGTGAGCCTGTCTTGCCATCTAGTGGCAGCTGCTCATGCTCATTTTACCTCAATCCATACTATTTTCAGTATTATTTTTAGCCTTGTTTGCCATAGTAGAGCTGACCTAATGCTTCAGGAGAGCATTATTACAGTAAGGCACATGAGCAAAAAGGACTTTATTTTTCTGCCTAGCATTACTATATGAGATATAAATATATATCTCAAGTTGTAAAGTTAGGCAGGAAAATAAATATAAATGTGTATATAAATACATATACATATAAAAAACATTTATGTTGGTTATATATTTATGTATAACAAATATAGGTCTACCACATGTAAATAAATATAAATCAAAGTTTATAACTTAGTTAAATGAGAATAAGCAAAGCCAGCAAATTAAAAAGTAGTAACATTCATATTCTGCGTTTTGAAATAAAATGGTGAACTACTTACACATGAAAAGAAAATGGATTTGTAAGGCACAGTGTAAGGCTGTACAGTATCTCT